TGGTGGTGATGAACTCCTTTAGCTTTTTCCTTCTCTGTGAAGCTCTTTATCTGACCTTCAGTTCTGAATGATAGCTTTGCTGGATAAAGTAATCTTGGTTGTAGGTTCTTGGTATTCATCACTTTGAATATTTCTTGCCATTCCCTTCTGGCCTGCAAAGTTTCTGTTGAGAAATCAGCTGACAGTCGTATGGGTATTCCCTTGTAGGTAACTGAGTTTCTTTCTCTTGCTGCTTTTAGGATTCTCTCTTTGTCTTTTGCTCTTGGCATTTTAATTATGATGTGTCTTGGTGTGGTCCTCTTTGGATTCCTTTTGTTTGGGGTTCTCTGCCCTTCCTGGACCTGTAAGTCTATTTCTTTCACCAGGTGGGGGAAGTTTTCTGTGATTATTTCTTCAAATAGGTTTTCAATATCTTGCTCTCTCTCATCTTCTGGCACCCCTATAATTCGGATGTTGGTACGCTTGAAGCTGTCCCAGAGGCTCCTTACACTATCTTCGTATTTTCGGATTCTTTTTTCATTTTGCTTTTCCAGTTGGGTGTTTTTTGCTTCTTCGCATTTCGAATCTTTGACTTGATTCTTGCGCTCCTCTGGTCTGCTGTTGGGTGTCTGTACAATATTCTTTATTTCAGTCAGTGTATGCTTAATTTCTAGTTGGTTCTTTATCACAATATCGAGGGTCTCATTAGATTTCTTGAGGATCTCACTACATTTATCGGAGGTCTCACCAGTCTTTTCGAGGGCCTTACTAAGTTTATCGGCAGCTTCTAGACAGTTCTTGAGAGACCTTAAAAGTGTGGTTTTGAGCTTTATATCTTCCATTTCTGACATTTGCGTCCTGTTTCTTTGTCTCCGCATTTTTTTATCTTTTCTTGGTGCATCCCCTAGTGGTCTTTGTGCACAGTCTTGTTGTAGTTAAGCCTTGACTGTTGTCGGCAATATGGGGGTTGATTTGACCTCCAGGCTAACTGGCTATGAGAGTCAGCTGTGTCTGCAGAGGGAGAGCTTCTGTGCTGGATCTCTAGGGCGGTGCTAATCTAGCGTTTGCCTGAGGCTATCGGGCAAATGGCTCTGCGCAGGGCTTGGGCAGGGCGGGTCCCCAGGGATCTACAGGGCGGGCCAGATCGAGCAGTTATGGCTGCTCTCAGTTCCGTTCCTAGGGGCTCTGCCTCACAGAGTCCCAGCCACCACTGCAAACCTCGGAGAGAAAGCTGCCTTCGAGTTCCGACAGAAGCCAGACAGTCCCGCTTCTCCCGTTTGAGTCTGGGTCCCTAGAGACTCGCCCGGATCTGGAGCTCAGAGTCTGAAACTCCCTCCCGATTGAAAACAACCACCGCGCCCTCCGCCACCAGCCCGCTCCGCGCGCGCACTCCGTACCTGAGTATTTCACTTCAGCACTGCGCCTCCTCTGAGTCTGGGTATGATATTCTCTTTCCTCCTAGTTGTAGAATTTCCACTCAGCCAGCCTTCCTGTGGTTCTGGATGATGTCCGTTCCGTCTTTTAGGTGTACCCTTGAATTGGTTGTTCGAGGCAGCAATCTCCGGTGTTAACCTATGCCGCCATCTTGGTTTCTCTGTTGTTATTTCTTGTTTCCATTTTGTGTTCCCGCTGTTTATTAAAAATTCTATATATAGTGCTAAATAAATGGTGCCTTGTTCTATGTTAATATATCAATTAGGAATTGCATTCAGTGTTTATAACAGAAAATCCAAACAACAAAACCTTAAATAGGAGGGATTCATTTTCCCCTACTCAAGTTCAGAAATGGGCAGTCCAGAGCTGGCAAGCTGTACCTCCAGAGCAGTCATGAACCAGGCATCTTTGACTTCTCACACTATTAATAGTGTGTGGGGCTTTTGTTATTATGGTTGAAATATGGCTGCTCCACCTCCAGCATCATGCCATTGCTCAGATAAAGAATGTATACAGGTCCAATGGCTAAATGAACATTGCTTCCATAAAGCTTTGAGCCCCTCCTAGGAACATCTCCTTTAATTTTCTAGGCCACATGGCCAACCATGGCTTTGAAGAGTCTGGGGAAGTGAAAATTTTTAACTGGACACATTGTCACCCTGAAAAAAAATCAGAATTCTGCTAGTAAAGAAAAAAAAAAGATTTTGGCTTAAACAACTAGCAGTGTCAACCACCCTGCTCCAAGGAGCCTCAACACACATTATTCTTCCCCAGGGAGCTCTGACAGATTATTGAAACACCAGATTGACAACAACTGTCTGAGGTTTAACTGTTTTAAATGGGAGAATTTGTTTGTATTGAGTCTCACATATAAAGTATATTTTTCAAAGTAGGCACACTTTATTTTTTCTAGTTGATAATGTTGAAGAATTGGCTGACAAAAATGTCACTTCCAGGAATTTGTCCCAAAAGATAACTAACTACACAGTTGTGTAAAGGGGCATACATAAGGAAGTTCATCAAAGAACTGTTTAAAATAGGAAACATTTGGGGGAAAATACAAAAATGTCAATCAATAGAAAACTGATTAAATGATGATAAATGTCCACTTAATGGACACTGTAACTTTTTAAAATGATGTTATTGGTGACATGCTGTTCAGTGAGAAAAGAACTGTGGACATAAGATCCAATTTATGAAGTACTGTATTTGTCTTTTTTTTTTTATTCTTAGAGATGTATAGAAGACTATAACATGAATATTTTAAATGGTTATCTCTATGAGATTTGGGGGAAAAGAACACCTGTATTTGTTTGAATAGTATATATGGTTTTCATCAAAATAGTAGCTATTTAAAAAATACCCAAGAGTGGGAGGGGCTAACTTCATCCAGTATTCTTCATATCAATATTACTTGTTGCCACTAATTTTCTTAGACACCCTGTGGCTGAACTTATCCTTGGATAAGTTTCTTATTTTTGCTCATTGGAAAAATGTCATTCTTTATTCATTATAAATTTCACTAAAATTAAAATGAGGTAAGAAATCATGAACTTTTTTTGCTTTGTTTTCCTTTCTATTTGGAGCACTGTGACATCCTGTTTTACAGCAGCTGTGGAAAGAAAAGCTGAGGAAGAGAGAAGAAGATGTAGGCAAAGATGTAAGAGGGAGAAGTCTGGAGGCATGGGTCTGGGAAAGAGCACTCACCTGAACATCAGACTGTTGTCAGTCTGGTATTGCACTTCTTGCTTGAGCCTACCAGTTTATCTTTCTGACCTGTTTTCTCATCTGGAAAATGGGAGGTTTGGATAAGAATCACTAGGTGTTTTAAAATTCTTTTGGAAGATTCTTTTGGATCTATTAATGGCATATCCTGGGAAACTACCATAGGGCTAAATCTAAACAAATTAAAGAAAAAAAAATGACAACAACAATAACCTACACACGCTGTTTCATATTTCTCCCAGGCATGTTGTTAAGTAAGTTGCCAAGATTACACAATAGGTGCAGGGACCAAGATTCCAGCCCAGAGCCTACAATCCTTACAGCTACGCTGAAAGTCACTGAAGAACTATCTGAGGGCCTTTAAAGGAAACAAGATAGCTTTCTCACCTTCAAGGTAGGCCCAATAAAACCAAGACCTTACCCCCACCTCCTGACTGCTTTGAGGTTGCCTTCATGGCTCGCAGGCTCCCCCTTCTCACTTCAAAGATAGGTTTCTGATTCAATGTCCTTTTGCCAACTAAAGGAGGTAAGTTTTGCAAAGCCCCGAGGAAGTTCTTCCTGCCATTTGCCTGACAGCACTGAAGTCATGGCAGAACCAAAGTCCCCGAGTGCCTACAGAAGGCCTTATGGTATTACCATCAACTGAATTTTCAGCCCTTCCTACTTCACAAAACTGGTTACCCAGCACCCGTTTGCATATCTTATCTTGCCGTATTTCCTGTCAGTAAGGCAGAGAGATACTGGGAAAAGTGTGTGTGTGTGTGTGTGAATGGGGGGGTGGGGGGTTTCGGGTGAGGTGGGGGAAACAGAGAAAAACAAGGTAAGAGCAGGCTCCAGGTCAAAAGACTCCTGCAGGGCCAGATCCTGCCCTCAGACCAAGGTCCACAAGGCGCCCCCAGTTTCAGTCCCTGCTGTCTCACTGCTTCAGTCCCTCTCCCGGTCCGGAAGCTAGTGCACGACCCCGCAGCATCAGAAGAAAGGCGAAAGCCAGGAGAGAGGGGCGGCCAGTGGGCTTCCACTCGGGCTCCCTGAAGACCCAACTTCCCAGACGACCTTCGCCCGAGGGCGGGGCGTGCGCTCGGCGGCCAATCCCCGCGTCCGCACGTCGCCGTAGCCCCGCCCACTTCGCCCCCACTAGCTCGGCTCTTCCCTGGGGCCGGGGCCGCCGCGGCGACGTCACCGCTAGGAGACCCCTGGGTGGCGCCTGCGCCGTTGGCGGGCCGCGGCCTGGACCGGCTGCGGGGAGGGGCGGTGCGAGAGGGCGGGAGCGGGCGCCGGGCCCCCCTCGGCCGCAGCTGCCGCCGCCGCCGCCGCCGCTGCTGCCGGGGAGAAATCTAGGCGGCAGCGGGCGGCCCCGGCTAGCGGCCACGAGCACTTCTGCGGCTGCCGAGTGGAGCGAAGGTCGCCGGTCTCGTGTCGTTCTCCTCTCCGCCCCCCAGGAGGGGCGAGAGGGAGTCGCCGCGGATGTCAGGTACGGCCGGCGGAGGCGCCCTCAGGCTGCGAGTCCGAGGTCTGGCTTCCGCGCGTCCTTCCCGGGCTCGGAGTGTTGGCGGGGGGAGCCTGGAGGGTGGCACCCGAGCGCGGGTGCCGGTAAACAGGTGTCTGGGAGTCGCCGCTGGCGCTGGGGGCGTGCGGGCTTCTGAGGGCGGCGCGGGCACTTCCTGCGCCCGGCGCCTCTGCGAACCGCGCCTGGGTCCGCCTGCCCTGCCGGCCGCTATTTTGTTCAGTTGTTGCTTCCTCTTCGCCGCGGGTCCTTCCCTGTCGCCCTCGCGCGCCGCTCTCCTCCTCGCGCGCTGCCCTGCAGTCGATCGGCGGCGGCGGCGGCGGGTTCCGGCGGGACCCTGTAGCGGTCCTGCCCCTCCGCCCGCGGGTCGAGCGGGACCGGCGGCTCAGGTGTTGGCACCTTCCCCGGGAGCCGCTGGACTGCCGCGCCAGCCGGGCGCCCAGCGAGCGGGCGCCTTCCCCGAGTGCCGGCGGCTTCCTCCGGGCTGCGGCGGATCTTCAGGTTTGTCGGGGACACATGCCCACTTTTATGTCCCCCTGGCTTGGCGGGATGACCCAGCCCGGTGTGCTCTGGGCACTTGCCCGCGGGGACAAGGAGGAGGAAAAGGTTTCCTTCTTCTCTTCCCCTTCCCCAGGTGCGAGTTGCTTAGTAGATGCTGCCAAGGTGGCCAGACAGCTGGGGTTTGGGTAAATTATATTCTCTTAAAAGATGACCGTAATTTAGGGGTGGAGACTTATTTTTCCCTAGCGCTTACCCTAACGCCTGCCTGTACCACACGCGCTGGAAATGGTGACTAGATTCATGATCTGGGTCTCTAAACTCTATTATAGATATTGTGGCATATCCTTTTTACGTTTTCGGGTTGGGAACTGTTATGCTAAACCATGGATTGATTCCATTATGAAATGTAAAAGTTAGTTGTAAAAGTTGGAACTTGAATGCGTTAGAGTGGGTGATTAGGCCGAGGTGTAAGGGGCGGAAATAGGTTCATGTGCGACTAGCTGGACTTAGAACAGAGAGCCAGCTGTGCTGGGCACCGGGAGCAAGCGTCGTGCCTGACTTCAGGTGGTTTAATTCCGGTGTAAGTGTAGACGGTGGGAATCTTGAGTTTCCTGTGTCTTTTTTAAAAAAATTTCTTTATTGATTAAGTTATTACATATGTGTCCTTATCCCCATATTCCTTGAGTTTTTAAGAGGGGTTTAGACAGCTTTTTATGCCTTTATCAGATGAATGTCAGATGAGCCTTGTGCGTGATGCTGTGTGCTTCTGAGTATCGTGTATAGTAAACTAGGTGCATTTTCGGCCTGCCTTATTGTGTATTGATGATGTGCAATTTAAGTGAATGTAAAGTTTCAAGTTACCAAACAGGTAACTCCTTTTTACCATATGTTCAGTAAAATAATGATTTAGTCAGGAAAGTGTGACTCATTAAAGTTCTTTACAGGAAAAGAGTATGGTTTTTTAGTACTAGTGGAGAACTATTAAATGTGTCTCTCAAATTTGGTTGGAAGGTTTCAATGAATCTTTTTACTTAGGACTCAGCATTTAAAAAATATTTTGTGGTTACTACCCATTTAAAGATAGGTATGGTTTGTTTTTTTTAAAAAAATATATGCTTTTTGGTATAGATTATATATTGCTGAGTAAATTTAGTATTCAGAAATTCTTGAAATTCTTAGAATTTTATCACAGACTTATTTAGGAGTACATATAATGAATTAATGTTCACTTAGTCATGGCAATACACAAGTTTGTCAATAGACATATGCCTTTTACTGTATTTGTATACTGATTTGTGCTCACTAAGGTAAAAATTGCATCATATATAGCTTATGAACTTTACAAACCATGGCAATATAAAATAGTCTTTGTGTGGTAAAATCATTGATTGGAATTCTTGTGACAGTACAGGCATAAACAATCATTAGATGGAAATGGACAATCATGCTGAACTTCAGTTCAAATTCACTTACAACTTTAAGCTTACAAGTATAATAAGTATGAGACTTTTAGAAGATTTGTTGAGATTTGAGTAAAAAGGTTAGTATACAAACTAACAAGATTGAAAGAAAGGCAAGACAAAATTCTTTCACTGAAAATTCAGTGGGATTAAGGTCATTCTTTTAAAAGAAGCAAGAAGAAAAAATGGGAAATTGTTCCATAAAAAGAGAAGTAGCATTTTATCCTAAAATCTAAATGTGTATCTAATGTGTACTTAAATTTTCACTATGTGCTTAAATTTGTACATAAATGCCAAAATCTGTAATGTGTGAAAATAGGAAATGTGTCCGACCTTTTGAGAAAAAAACTCCTGTGTCACAACTAGGGGGAGTGCTACTGGCATCTTGTGAGTATAGGCTCCAGATGTTGCTAAACATCTGACAGTAAACAACAGCCCCCACAACAGAGAATTTATTCAGCTCAAGCTGTCAATTGTGCCAAGTTAAGAAACTTTGGCTTACCGGGGCTTACGCAGTTGGGGCATAGATGGTGGAGGGAAGAGGGTGTTTGTTGTGTAGACAGAGAAGACAATAGGAATAGCGGAGCTAATTGCACTGGGATATTTAGCAAACTGGAGTTCAGGATTGCTGAAGCATAGATTATAAGGCATGGAGTATTAACATATGAGGCTGGAAACCTGGACAGAGTCTGGTCAAGGAGGGGCCTTATCATGTCCTTAGTTTTTGTCTTGTAGGCAGTGGGGTCCCATGGATTGATAGAGTTCAACTTTTCATTTTAGATAGGTCATTCTGATAACAGAATGGGAATAAATTGAGGAGATAGCCTTGAGTCAGGCAGACTGGTGAGCTATTGCAGGATCTTAGGGGAGAGAGGAGGGTCTAAAATAGGACAAGTAGTAAAAATGGAGAGGAGAGGATGGATTAGAAAAATATTTAGGAAATAAAATTGGCAAGATTTGGTAATTGGATATGGGGTAAAGTAAGGAGAGTGTTAACAATGTCTCCCTAATTTTTACTTTAAATAATCCAATGGCTCCTGGTGAAATAGGAACCCATTGGTCAGTAATTTAGGTAATTACCAGTAAATTAGGTAAGATGAGCAGGCTTAAGGGAGGAAGGCAATGAGTCCCTTTTGGACATGTTGAATTTAACATGCCTGTGGTGCAGGTGGAAATGCTTTGTGTGTATATAAATCTGAAAGTTGGAGGAACTCTGGAAAGGATCAAGAGATCTTTTTGTGTAACAAGTGTGGGAAATAAGTGCAATTTAGTTTTTCTTATATTATTTCATTCCCTATGTAAACTATCTTCCTTTATTTAAGTTTTGTCACAAAAATAATAGGTATGTACTTGATTTTAAAAAGTAAAACATAAAAAAGTTATAAAATGCAAATAAATTTGTCCTTGCTGCCCATGCCACCCAGCTTAATTCCCAGAGGTATCCCTTGTTAAATATTTTGTATTCAGTAGTTCCCCCTTATCCATGGGGGATATGGTCTAGGAACTCCAGAAGATGCCTGAAATTGTGGATAGTACCAAACCCTGTTATACATACATACTTCAGAGATATTATGAGTTCAGTTCCAGATCATTGCAATAAAGCAAGTCATAATCTTTTAGTTGGTGGAGGGTTTTGCCTTTAATTTGTTTTATAAAAAAAAAAAAAAAAGGCAACATCTGTGAAGCACAATAAAGCAAAGTGCAATAAAATAAGGTATGCCTGTATATACTGTTTTTTCCCCCTCAGCATACATACACATATACATAATTTCTTATGGTTTCTCTTTGAGAGCAACACTATGCTTGTGCTTTGGGGCCATTATTAAGTAATAAGGATTACTTCAATATAAGCACTTTCATACCAATACTAGCTCATCTGATAACCTAACTACTAAATGCCTAACGTGAGGGGGAAACATTTACAGCTTAGATGTGTACAAAGGGATGATTCATGTCCTGGGTGGGACAGAGCTGGATGGTGTGAGATTTCATCATGCTACTTAGAACAGTGGGCATTTTAAAACTTATGAATTGTTTATTCTGGAATTTTCATTTAACATTTTCGGACTACAGGTAACTGAAATAATGGAAAGTGAAACTGCAGATAAAGTGGGGGGGGGGGCTATTGTACATCATTCTAGAATTTTTTATATATACAGAAGCATTTAAAAAGCCAAATGCAATCATACTATACAAACTGTAGAGCTTTGTCTTAAAAAATAAATCTTTTATCTTACGTGGGTGTTATGAGAGAAAATAAGTGAAAAGTGTAAAGTGGAGATTAATGGTTATAGAGCATCATCTCTTTGATATAAATTAAAGGATGTACATACATTTATGCTTATACAGGCATTACTTTTTTTCCATGGATACATAAGAAGCAGTAGTAGTTACCTTTGGGGAGAGCTAGGTGTAGAGATGAAAAAGAAAATGTTATTATTTTCTGTATAAACTAATTCCTTGTCAGTAAATAAACATTGCTGTGGCTACCAAGAACATCTTTCAGATTATGTCCCTAAGAGAAATTTCTGGTTATGAAATGATAGGACAAGGCATATTAATTTCAAAAATTTAAAAGATATTGCCAGCCCTTGCCAGGTTGCTCAGTTGGTTGGAGCGTTGGTCCATACACCAAAAGTTTTTGGATTTGATTTCTGGTCAGGGCACATTACTAGTACATAGGTTGCTTGTTTGATCTTCAGTCGAGGCGTGTAGAGGAGGCAATGTGTCAGTGTTTCTCTCACATCGATGTTTTCCTTTCTGTCCCACAACCTTTCTAAAATCAGTAAACGTATACCTCAGGTGAGTATAAAAAAAATATTGCCTAATTGCCCTTCCAAAAGACAGTAAATATTGTGAGAAAGAATGTATGAGTGCCAGTTTTCTCTCCCATCTATGTCAATATTGCGTGTTACTAAATTTAAATTTTTTTTCCAGTATGACAGGTTAAAAATAGTATCTCCATTTACTTTACCTTCCTTTAATATGACTGAAATTTGAACATCCTTGACCATTGTATTTTCTTATTAGGTACATCCTTTTTTAAGTATCTGTTTTTATATTAGGTTGATCTTTTATTTTTCTCTTTATGATACTTTTTGCTTATTTTGTTTGGGTTTTTTTGCTGCACATATTTTTTTTAACATTTAATAAAGAAACATATCTTTGAACCAGCAGTTTCACTGCCAGCAATTTATCCAATGAATAACCTCATACAATTTAGTCATAGCTTTTGAGTTTGGGGACGATCTCAGTTCTTTATATAAAAATATAAAAATGGGTTTTCTTCTAATTTTGTTTTTATTTTATTTTTTAAATATTGAAATCTTAGAATCATTTGGAATTTGAAAGAGAAATTCCATCTGTGCTTTTTACTTTTTCCCATATGATTAATTCAATATCATTTCTTGAATGAGCCATCTTTATTTGAAATGCTATGTGGCTTATGTATTAAATTTCCATATGTGCTTGTTTTTCTAATAGATTATTTTGATCTGATAAAAACCAACAGGGCTGCCGAAACTGGTTTGGCTCAGTGGA